TAGAAATAGAAGACAGCGACAACAAAGACAACTATAGGTGAACAACCTAATCTACAAATATTGCACAACTCTCCATCTATGGTGACCATAAAGGGAACAACTACCTTGTCGTGGCCATGATACTTGATTAGCATCACAATACAAACCCGGCCACATGGCTTGACATGATCTTGCAATTCTTCTCTGATAATGCTATGTTGCACGTAGGCATGTAGCGCGCTGCGGACATGCAACTCAGGGATTTGCGCAAGATTATAAGTGAAAAATGTATTGATTATAGGAAAGGGAGAGATACAAAAGTTCCTTGTTCTCACAAAACAAAGGGTGTCCCAACAAGAGGAGATGTTGCGACTTAGATTTCGTCTGACATGGAGGCGAGATAAAATAGAAAAAAACAGCTCACTTGGATTTGGTCCCACTTAGGGGTGAGGAAAAATAGAAAAAAAAACTTGCTAGCGACTCCTTAGTCATTCTTTTCTCTCAACAAACGAGGATAAGATTGCACCAAACTCTAGCCACACCCTCTGGGTATCGTGTTACATAATTAAGCAAGTTTATGATTAATTTCAGAACATAAATCACAATAAATGCACATACTTGCATGTATATCTATAATACACTAGTAGAATTAAACAACACAACTAATAACAACATTGTCTCTCAAACAACATGCATGATTAAATAGTAGATCGATCACAAATATACTTTCCATTTGCAAATGAAGATGCCATGAGTAGTGGGGTGGAGAAGAGACGATGTTGTTAACGACATATGCAAAGACGGGTCTGTACTAAACCTAAAAGAGGAGAACCACTTCTGTTTGTAGAAGATGAGAAAGCAGGTACTAAACAAGACTCAACAATACATGTAGTGGACGGGGATGTATGTGTGAGTGGGTGGGTGGGTGTGGCACCCCCCTGGGTTCTCCACTATACAAACCCGCCCCCCTCAATTAGGTACTAAATATAATGGCGATAATTACTGATTAGTGTTTATTTGCTTGATTTTTCATTGTGATAATTCTTAATGATATCTATGTGATTTATGGTTAGTATGGACATAGGGAACCCTTGATGGACCATGATAGTCTTTCTGCGCTAGGCATGGGAATATTTGACAGTCTGCCATTGAGGACCGATTGATTATTGCTTTCCTTTTTTCTTGATCTCAAATTTTTGTTGAAAATTTGGAGAGAGTGGAGAGGTTGATTCCTTTTTTGCTAGAGGTTGGTTCATATTTTTCTGACACCATTTTTGGAGGGAAATCGAAGGCAGCTCACGTCAGAAGCTTTTTTTCCAAAAAAAATCAAGGCCTGAAGCTGGCGTAGGTTAATCAGTGGATAGGGGGGATGCGCAATGAATGGCTGGTGGACGAAAGCTTCTCACTCTTTTTTAGTAGTAGAGGGGGAAGACAAGTGTATAGGTGGGTGGGTGAGTGGGTTGGGTTGAGCATTCATAAAGAAACAAAGAAAGTTTTGTAGTTTGAGACTGAACGAAGGAGAGAACAAGTAGGGCATACCCTAGCGTGAAAGAATCTTGGTAGATTCCTAATCTAATGTTGGACTCAGACTCTTAGGGTGTGTTTAGTTCGCGAAATGAAAATTTTTGGATGTCACATCAGATGTTTCAGGGATGTCGGAAGAGGTTTTCGGATACTAATAAAAAAACTAATTAGATAGCTCGCCTGAAAACTGCGAGACGAATTTATTAAGCCTAATTAATCCATCATTAGCGCATGGTGGTTACTGTAGCACTTATGGCTAATCATGGCCTAATTAGGCTTAAAACATTCGTCTCGCGATTTCCAACCAAACTGTGCAATTAGTTTTTTTCGTCTATATTTAATACTCCATGCATGTGCCGCAAAATTCAATGTAACACTTTGAGGTGAAAATTTTTGGGAACTAAACTGGGTCTTACTCACACCACCGTCACCATTCCTTGCAGATATTAACAATCATAATAAATAGAGAGGCCAGGTGAAAGCACCACCCACTCCAAGCATCCCAAGCCCTAACTATCAAACCCCTCTCGAGCCGAGGAGAAGAAGGGAAGAGAAAAGAGAAAATAGGCAACTCGCAGGTAGACATGGAGGCCATCATGACAGTAGTGGCGGTTGATGCAGCAGTGGGAAACACTGGAAAAGAGTACCGCGTAGAGCATAGCAACCGCCTGTAACCATCAAGAGGGGCGGATCCCTCAGATAAGGAGGCACGGCCAAACCATGATGGTGCAGCCATCCCGCACGTCAGTAGTGACATCAATCGCCGGTGAAACGACGGGGAAAGATAGACACGAAACCAATTTGACTATAGGTTTGTGATAGACCTGGTGGCATCGGCGATGACCAACAACAAGAGAGAGGGGATAGAGGCTGAGGAAGGATCGTTGATGGACGGAGAACCGAATAGTGAACAACGAGTTAAGCATTTCTAAAGGGCACAGGTTAAGCTGTAAGAGCATTATGCTGCTCAGCCTCTTCAACAATTTGCTCGATCAACAGCGGTGGAAGTTCAATATATATTTACCATGATTCCCCCAAAAAAAAGATGGTACAAATAATGTTTGCATTGTGCAAAAGAAAATCTCATATATCGACAGAAAGCTACCATTTTTCGAAAGGACGACAAGAGTTTTGTTGTAGATTTATTAGAAAAAGGTAATCACCCTAGTTTATAAAGAAAACCTGGCCAAAAAACCATATAGCATCGGTGGTGTAAAATTAAAACGCACTGGCACCGCGCCACAACAACAAAAAAACAAACTTGCTACGATCACCACCACCATTGCCACGCAGACCCCTCCAATATTACTACGACCGGCACATATATACACACACCTCCAAACAACTATGACTTCACACTCACGCCTCCAATAAGTACGACCCCTCTCTCAGGACAACAGAGCGCTACTACTAGAAACAAGGAGATAAAAAGGACAAGGAAAAAAATTCCTATGGAACCGGCTAAACTCCAGCCTCGCTAAGCAAGTGAATCAACACCTATCAGCAGCCATCACTACCCCAGCCAACTTTTTCCGTGACGGCCAGAACCGTCAGGAAAAATAGTGTAAACCGTCGGGGATTGTTTTCCGTGACGGCAACCGTCAGGAATTGGCCGTCAGGGATTGACTGTCAGGGAAGGTGAAGTTTCCCTGACGGAAACGCGTCAGGGATGTTTCCTGACGGCTGGGCCCGTCAGGGAAGGTCTCTCGCGACGGTTCATGGGCATACCGTCAGGAAATGTTTCCTGTCGGGTACTAAACCGTCAGGGAAGGTTTAAACTTTCCGTGACGGTTGTCTAACCGTCAGGAATTTCTCAAACTTTCTCTGTCACCCATCAAACCGTCAGGGAAACCTTTTTCCCTTCCTCTCGGTTACCTACCGTCAGGAAAGGTTTTGTCTACTCTCGACAGTATAGCTTTGACAGAATTCATTTTTCCCAAAATACGACTTATTAGAGCCATTAAAAATACTTTCAACAAGACAACTAATTGCAAAGAATATTACAAAGTCATTGAACCATTCATTTACATTACATTCCATGGTCTTCCAATATCATTCAAGTATTCACACGAACACTCAATCCAAAGTCGCATTGCACTTATCGCCTCCTACTTGGCCATCTAGTTAGGTACAGCTAGCATAATTTGAAGTACAGGATCAGCCACATGTTCAAATGGCGTTTCATAACAGGAACCTATGAAGGCGATATATAGCTCCCAACCAAAATAGGCATCTAGCATCTATTACTTTAAGATGACATGCCATGACCCTTGAGGAGGCAATCTGCTAGTAGGTAGCTGCTATCTCACAACCAACATACCTCTGTTGCACAACATGTCCTTCAAACAACATCTTTGGTTGTTGCCTTGACCCTTGAGAAGGCAATCGCTAGTAGCTAGTTGCTCTCTCAACCAAAAAATGCAGCTTTGGTGGCAATGTCATTGCTTTTTCTTCATAAGCTTTGCATGCTCGAGTAGGCATTATGCATTTGCTACTTCACAACTAGCACCCATGCTTTGAATAGCAACAAAATCCACTTTTGTTGCCCTTCTTTTGTTGGTTGTTGCCAAAACCTGTAGTCGATGAACAAAAGACTACGGCTCCAAAAAATACTTCTGCCATCACACAAATCAATGGCCATCGCTATTGTCCAGTTGTTATTGGACGCATGAGAGGATCCATCTATAGCCCCTCCCTACATTCAAAATGAAAAAATTGGACCGTTCATGAGAATATGTAGACCAGATAAATTGTGGAAATGATTAACTTTGAAAGGAACATATCTATATGTGGACCAACATCGTGCACTATGAAAAGATGAAAGATGCTAAATGTTAATTTCTTTGGTTCATGTTATTTGGAATGGCCAAGCAATACATCGGCCAAAGAAGATAATAATTATTCTTCATATTGATCAATATCATTTGACCCCCAAGTTAGTGCAATGTCCATCAGCCCCAACCCCAAGTGAGTGATAAGTGTAATGATCGGACTTGAGTAGCGATGAGTTCGGATATTACGTGCATGGTCGCTAGTAGACAATGTGATAACTTAATATGCATCAACACTTAAGATTTAATCTCACCATCTCATTTTCTTCTTCCTGCAGTAGTTGAGGTGGTATCTCTATCTGTACTTTGCTAACAATGAGCTGCAAGTGAAGAATTATTAGTATTGCAATCGACCTTCAATTCCATTGCAGAGATAGTGTACCGAATAGAATTGTACCTCAAGTAGACGAGCATTACGCTTCACATCTCGAGTCAATGCAGAGATTTTGTTGAGCCAAGGCCATGTTTTGTTGAGTTAATCGACCAACGGTTGCAAGCTGAATGCTCATATCTTGCAAACAGATTCTGAAAAGCCCTTGAGGTTGTTGGCCTTGTCCCACTTGCCTTAGCAACATCAATTATCATAGCCTTCTTCACAAGCACCATCTCCTATTGCAAGAGCGACCATGGGCCAAGCCACCACCAATCTTGTATGCAATATGACCATCAAAGGGTTGCTCTTGCATTATCTGGGTATTTTTCTTGTAATGCCTCATTGTAGGCATCCTAAAAACAACACAAGTAGTTAGCCAGGAATTAAGAATGGAAAAGCACATAAGTATATAGAAATTCGCTACATACAACAAGTTTCTTTGTCTGCTTTGAGGAATTGGCCCAAAGATTCCCATTGGCATCACAATTTTTAACACCGGATCTCATGCAAAGCAGAAAGCATTTGTTACTGTGCCTTTCGTAGGTCCATACTTTGCTCCCTTCAAGGCATAAAAAGAAGTGATCAATGTTTTTTTGAGCATGAAATGGCAGGTGCTCTGCCTTTGCATTAAGTAGAGGTGAAAAGAACAGGTACAGATAAGTTTAAATGCTGGTTATACTTTCTAGCTATGTTCAAATGGGAGTGATCAATGTTAATGCCTAATAAATAATCAAAGTCATTCAGAAAGAAATTGCTTGTGATAAAGTAGATTACCAGAAATTGTTGAGTCTCAACTAATGGCCTAGAACCACCCCTATTTTGAGCGCCATCAGGATTTTTTTTCCGAGAATCTTGCCCAAGCTTCCTTTTCTTCAAGTATTCAGCAGAGCACCAATACTTGCAAAGGGACTCCCAGCATTCATCAGTGAACCAATCAGGCTTGCACTGCATGTACTCTTCAAAAGTAAGTAACTTAGAAGATGCAAATGCATCAGTCTTTGGGCTTTTAATGATCTCCCGATAGTAGTACTTGACAGCATCTGGACGAGCTTGGTACATCATATTCTTGCATTGATTGTGTGCATATTTCTCAAATACACGGTCTGCTTCGTCTTCAAGTTCTTCAGGAACTGAATATATGCTCTGCACAAGAAACAACCATCAAGCATACTGCAGTGGACTGAACCTAATTCTTGTGCAACATGAAAGAAGTGCAATGGCAAAACTTAATTCTCACCCAAAACTCTTGTTTCACACGGTCAGCTGGTGTTTGACCATCATTCCTTATAATGTGCGAATAATAGTGGGACCATTTGCTTGCATGATATTTGAACTCACAACCATCTCTAGTAGTCCCTTTGATGATTGGGGATATTCTTTCTTTAAAATCACTCCAAGGATGGGGCCTTTCTTCATTTTATCATCAATTGAGTAGTTAAGCGAGCGGAATTAGTCTGCGTCAATGGAAAAAGTGAATCAAGGCAAAAATGGATTAGCAAGTTCTAACGGTAGCATTGTCCACACTAGGGGAGAAAAAATAGTGGTCACATACTTGTCACCCTCGGGTATTAAGGCTATCGACCATTGCGAGGCTTATGCGGTTTATTATGCCCCTTATCCTCTTTGCTTGAAATTTGATTGTCCACGTCATTTGTGACGTCACTTGACCGTGGTCGCCTATCCGTCCGATGATTGAACGATCGCATCTCCTGCCACAAAAAATGTTACAAAAAGAAGTACAAGCTGTAGAAAAACAAAAACTGCATACATAAGATACATAGCAACACAAATAAGATGCACATAAAGAAACTAAAACCGTCACATTCTCATACAAGATACATAGCATCACACATATAAGAAACATAGCGGTACATGAGTCCAGATTTGGATAGAAATAGAAATTAAACAACAAGATACATGAGTCCAAATTTTAGATAGAAATAAGACTTAAACATTAGTACAATAATTTGAAATACAACAATCATTTTAGAAATCCTCTTCTTCAGAGTAGTCTTCATCATAGGATTCAACATCATCTTCGTCGCCTTCTTCATCACTTTCTAATATCTCTTCCGCTCTCTGGAGCAACAGTTTGCTTCTCTAGCTGTTCCAATTCTTTTGGATCAGTTATTTCATCCGAGGCTAATGTGTCAATCAATTCAATGTCACCTAGATCGATCACAAATGTGCCTTCCAATCCATCCTCTTGGAAAAATGAGATGTCATTTGTTGGCCCTTCATTTCAATGGAATCATTGTTGATGTCGATTGAGGCAAACGATCTCTTGGTGCCACATGGTACACTACCCACCATCTTTTAAACTAGGGTCGTCACTAGCATATGATAGATAATAAACCTGTGTAACTTGACTTGCCAACACAAACGGTTCAAAATTTTGAAGCCTAGAGCTATGCTTCACTTCCACCAGACCAAGATTTTTCGCTTAACACCCCTAGAAGTCGGATCAAACCAAATGCAATAAAATAAAACTAGATCAAGTTGTTCCTGCCTTCCCATGAAATTTTAATGATGTCTTCAATAACACCAAAGTACTCAAGAGCATTTCCATTGTCATCAAGACACGCCACACAAACACCACTATTGGTTGTAGCCAATCCTGCCCGCTTACTCTCATACTTCTCGAATCAAACCTATATCCATTCACATCATAGCAACCATAGGAGGACACCCTTTTAGTAAACCCATATGAAATTTGACGCAACACATTGTGAACACTTGATCGATTTGCACACGCAAACAGTTGCATTTCATTTATTAGTGTTTATTACGATTTAAATAGGAAAAAAAACTTGCTAAAATTGAGTTGTGACATTACTATGTTTTTGAACCAATCAAAGAAATTGGGGCCTCTATTTCGCCACGTGTGCCTTTCCAACCATTTAATCTTAAGTTACTAATATCCCGTGCACTTGGTCGTGAGCGACCCTTCCATTGTTCATTATCAAATTCTCTACAAGGACATATTTGACATTGTTACAAAGTACAAGTATCAATCAAAAAATAACTTTGAACCATATAAGTAGAAGGCATACTTGAAGAAATCATCCATTTCAGGGATGTTAGTTAATATGTATAGGGTCTTTGCCTTTTGACTGCTCTCATTGTGAGGTCACGAAAACCCGGTGAGATGAAGCATCTACCAATGTGTTCAAACAGTTCAATGCCACAATCCTTATGAAGTTGAGCCAAAGCATCATCATATCTAGGTGTTTTATTTGAACAGAATGTACATTAGATCTAAAATACAGAGAGAGAAAGTTTGTGGCCTCTTCAACAAGATAAGCCTCAACAATGGAGCCCTCAACTCGAGCCTTATTTCGGACTTTGTTTTTAATGCCCAGAATATACCTACATGTTAAATTCCATTTAGTAAATCCAATAGGTACCATACTAAATAGATGAAAGGGAAAGTTTATGGTTCACCTCTCAAATGGATACATCCATCGATATTGGACAGGGCCTCCTAATAATGCCTCATCAGCAAGATGAATTATTAAGTGTTGCATTGGATTGAAGAAACCTGGGGGGAATATTTTCTCTAGTTTGCAAATAAGCACTGCTATGTTCTCTTTCAATGATAATATTGAATCTTTGCTGATTTGTTTAGCACACAACTGCCTATAAAAATAACTCAACTCTGCCAAAGAAGTCCAAATACCTTCAGGTAGAAACCCTCGAAATGCAACAGGCAGTACACGCTCAATAAAGATATGAAAGTCATGACTTTTCAAACCAAAAATCTTCTTTTGCAGCAGATTAACCCCACGCCTAATATTAGCAAAGATACCCATCCGGAAACTTGAGTTCTTGGAACCAATTTAGAATTTTGATCTTATCATCCTTATCTATACAGTATGGGGCCCTTGGTCTCTGCCACTTCCCATTCCTTTTATACAAATGAAGAGATGGACGGTCACAAAGCAGCTCTATGTCTTGTCTAGCTTTCACATTATCTTTAGTCTTATCTTTAATATCAAAACATGTGTTCCAAATAGCTTCAGCCACATTTTTTTCATTATGCATCACATCTATATTGTGACGAAGCAGTAATTTAGTAAAGTAAGGAAGTCGCCAAAGGCCACTTATATATTTCAGTTGTGTTGTTTTCCATATTTATCAGTATCATCGACCATCAGTATAGCTGATCCTTAACCTCCACTCAGGTTAAACTCCTAGGGGGTCCTTCATGTACTACCTTGCCCTTGCGAAACGCATTTGCTTCGTTTCGAAAGGGATGATCTATAGGAAGAAACCGCCTATGGCAGTCAAACCATGTAGCCTTAAGGCCTTTCTTTAATCGATATGCATTGCCCTCACACATGCATTGTGGACATGCAAAAATCCCATGGGTGCTCCATCCAGCAAACATGCCATATGCTGGAAAATCATGTATTGACCATAAGTATGATGCTCTCATAGTAAAGTGTCGCTTCACCGAAGCATCATATGTTTTTACCCCAGCCCATAAATTTAGCAATTCATCTATCATAGGTTGTAGCAATACACTTAGTTTGTTTCCAGGATGTTCTGGTCCAGGGATGACCATAGCAAGGAATATGTACTCAGGCTTCATGCAAACACCAGGAGGAAGATTATAGGGAACCCAAAAAACTGGCCAACAAGAGTAAGAAGCTGCATTCAATTTATATGGTGTGAATCCATCAGTTGCAAACCCAAGTCTTACGTTCCTAGCATCTTTCGCAAAATCGGGAAATCATCATCAAATTGCTTCCATGCCTTGCCATGGCATGGATGCAACATTTTGTAGACCTTGCGACATGATCTTTCTTTGTGTGAACGCATTAGTTTTGTTGTGCCCTCATGTGCATATAATCTTTGTAACCTATCTGTAATATAGGAAGTAGCGCAACACTTTACGTGGAACCTTGTTTGATCCATCCTTATAGCGGGAGGTACCACATATGTCACACGTATCCTTATTCTTGTTATCTTTGTAGTATAGCATACAATTTTTTTCACAAACATCAATTTTATGGTATTGCATGCCAAGGCCCTCTAGCAGTTTTTTGGAACGATAGAAATCTTGGGGGATCTTAGAATTAGGGGGAAGGAGTTCATGCACAAGGCCCACATAATTATCATAACATGCTACTGACAGATTGTACTGTGATTTAATGGCCAATAGACGAGCAACAGTAGAGAGCCTAGAGTGCAAGGTTTGGTCATGTACTCGCTCATCTGCACTAACAGCCATTCTATAGAAAGCTTCAGCAAAACCAGTTGGTGTTTCCTCATCTAATGGTGGGTGCCCACCAGCTAAGTCAACAAGCATATCATCCATTCGATCCGTCTCACCAAATCCCTCAGCTGTACCTCTAAACCAATCACATGTTCATGGTTTTCCGCCTCTCTCCATGTGATGTCCAAGTTTGGTAATTTTCTTTGTACCCATTGTGGCACAAATGCAACTCTATCTTAGGCCTTTTATGCCTGAAATAATTCCGACACATGGCACAAGGGCACTTAATTGTATCAGACTCAACTAATTCAGGGATTGAGTAGGCACGATCCAAAAACTCATTTGTTTTTCTCCATTCATTCATTCGTTGGCCTACCACGCTTCCAACCACTATACATCCAGCCACGATCGCCATATCTTATCTCTGCAAACTTATGAGAAGTTTAGAACTACTAACCAGCTGCAAATCAAATTCTGTGCATACAATTACGGAAGCAGTTGTGGAATGGCAACAAGAACAACCAATGAGATCAGCAGTCAGACACCTGTTAAACATCGAATGAAAATATCAGTCATTGCTAAACAAGAAATGTACAAAAAAGTCAGTTTTTAAATACTAATACAGTGCAGAATCAACAACATGATTTAACCCATTTTAAGAGATGGCTATAGAGAATGACAATGGAATTAAGGAGCGAAGAACTAACCAACCATTTCAAGCAAACCAGAGATATAATAAATAGAGCAAAATCCGGTCACAAGTCATATCACAACCACAATACAAAGGACGGAATCAATCAGATTAAATGACAATACAATTCTATTACCGTGCCAGTAAGAAAGTAGCAGACTGAACATAGGATAGTATACTGAAACGAAAACTACACTCCAAATGTTTTAACAATGCCAAAAAATTCAGATAAGTTATAGTACTATTGAGATTAAGGTTCATTGAAAGAAACGCTTACCACTAAATGGTAACTCCCAGTGTAGCCAGAAGCGAAATGGCAACAGCAATAGCCTCGAGTCAACTTACCTGTTACAAATTTACAACTTATGTATGTCCGACAAAACCAAAGAAGAAATACTGTATAGCATGAATCGATAAAAATCTGAGAGGATAAACTAACCAACTAGATCTTCACTGGACAATCACTAGCAGAAATTCCAGGTCGTCAATAGGTGCTTAAGAAAATGTCTCTCAGGCCATGATTCACCTCTCCCACTTCTGTACATGCACAGCACAATTTGCTTCAGGCCTAAAAAGAAAAGGAAGAAATCTCCACAAGCAGTTGGGGTGATAACAGAACTATCGTGAGTACCTGGAATCACAGAGCAAGGGGATGAACTTGGATTGTTGATGCAACTTATACCAGATCTGTGAGATTGAAGGCAGCCACCTTTTCCACCGTACACATACAAGCAAGAACGAATTTGCTTTAGTAAAAAAAAGGAAAATTCCATCGAACACATACAAGCAACAACAGAATTGGTGGTACCTCGTACCTGGCTTCTGGACGTCGTGGGGAACGGCGTCGGGGCTAGGGGTATAGGGGCGGGGCGACGAGTCCGGTGGCTGACAGCATGGCGGCGGGTGGCCGACGGCCCATGCCGGCGGCGCTTAGGGTTTCTAGGCGCCGGGGCTAGGGAATAGGAGAAGCAGCGACTGTTCTGGTGGCTGAGGACGGCCGACGGCGGGCGGGCGGTGGAGGGCTGCCGGCGGCGGCGGCGGCGATGCTGGGCGCTGGGTGGGGAGAGGCAGGCGGCGTCGCTCGATGCGGCAGTGGATGCGCGCGAAAGCAGGCTGGCGGAAAGGAACCCGAGGAAAATAGATTGGGGATGGAGCCGGTCACGCGGGGCTGTTGGCGCGGACTGGACGCGCGCATCGGAATTTTTTGTCAGAATCCCGCGCGCTCGATCTGCTCCTCTCTCTGTTCTGTGGGCCAACAGCTGCGGTAGCCCGCGAAAATCATCTGTATGGGCTGGCGACGAGCACCCGTGACGGCAGGAGAAACCTTCCCGGACGGTATACAGGTCACGTGGGGGATGGTTTTGTGCCTCTGACGGGAGACGTGCAGCCGAGGGGAGTGGGCTGGGCCGACGGGAGAAAATGTGTCTCCGGTAGTGCATATGGGGTGGCTGTGAGCACACATTTCGTTGCATGCGTAGGCCAATGCACAATCGCCCAACGGATGTTGATGTATATATATATAAACTACTACGTAGTAGTAGTATATATATTTGCTTAATTTGTCCAACCATGTAATGCATGAAGCAGGAAACAATGAACCCTACTGCCTAACCTGTTGAATCCATTTGTCGCCGTTTGGAGTTTACTAGTAGTAGCGTTGAAGACTACGGCGGATTGCTGAATCCAAAGTGAAATATTCTTAATTATTTTATTCGGGCTATCCCTTGTTTCCTTGTGGTTGTCTCGATGAATGCATGTCGCTGTACCGGCGGCAGGCGGCAGCTGTTTGACAGAGACGCGACGACAATGACAATCAAATTAACGACCTAGGTAATTAATCGATACCATCAATGATCGATGCATAATAATTAAGATAAGAGGACGCCGCCCTAGCTAGCCAACAATATACGCATATATACCTGCCGTCGTCGTCCAGGTCGACTGATCCCCGGCCAGTTGTTGCAGCAGGCAGAGAGCAGGGAGAAATGGCGAAGCTCTCCGGGGCCGCCGTGCTGCTCCTCGTCGTCGTCCCTCTGAGCATGTACACCTGCGCCTTGCTCGTGGGAATCCAGCTCGGGCGGGCGCTGGAGAGGGGGCCAGGCAACAGCGGCGCTGGCGTCGAATTCACCTGGCGAGGAGCCCTCGACTACGTCACCAAGGTGATCGATCGTCGACGATAGAAATAGCTCCAGCTATAGCTACTACTTGTTCATGCATCATCTCCATCCATCAGTTACATATACGTTGTGTTCGATCTCTTCGTTCTAGGGTAGAGATCATCTATATATCCATCCCCTGCATGCATGCGTCGTCGTCATAAAAAAGAGGTGACTTGTTTGTCAATTGCCATGTACTTGCTTGTTTCAGGAGCTTTGGGATATCAATGTTTTGGGACGGCGACGAGGAGGCAGGAAGGTTAGTGGCGGAGTCAGAGAACTAGTGCCCGTCGTTGTGTCGTCATGGAGCACTGATGTTGAGAGGTCGTCGTCCTCCCTTCGTGAAGAAGCACTGGAACCCTACGTCGCCCTCCCTGATCTCCCTTCGGCTGATCATGTTCTAAAGACAAACAGCAGTGCAAATGATACCTCAAGGACCCAGCAGAGAAGATACTACAATCACACTTCGGTACGTGCATATGCATGCTTTAATTTCTAGTACTAATCTTTCTTTTTTTCTATTGTTATTATTACTTCAGACATACTGTTTATATATATACTTGCAGTCGATCGAGATCAATTATTGTTAGCCACTACTACAGAAATATTTTTTAATGCTATTTTTACCCTTGATTTCATTGAAACCGTTTGTGATAGTATATCGCTAAACTAAAACTGGTATGGTGGTGAAAACAATTTTTATTGTCAGTTCAGGAGAGAGGAGCCCCCCCCCCCCCCCCCCCCCCCCCACACACACACGGTGCACCGAGCTTTCGCTCGCATCGCCCTTGCACCACATGCACATGTTGTGCTATCTTGAAGTGGCTAACAGGGGGACCCGCCCACATGTCGCCCCATGAACGGGTGCACATGGAGCAACGATCCGAGGCACCACTGACCCATCTCTATCCTCCCTATGTTTCTCCCATGTTTCTATTATCTCCATCCCTTCGTCTCGCTCACCCTCCCTTTTGTATCTCCCCCTCCCTCTCTCTCTCTCTCTCTCTCTCTCTCTCTCTCTCTCTCTCTCTCTCTCTCTCTCTCTCTCTGCAACTCCCTAGTGTCGCAGCCAATGACCCCCCTCCATTTCAACCACCACTTTCACTGCCGGTTGCAAATCGACAATGATAACCTCCATTTCAACCACCACTTTCACCACTGCCCTGCAAAACCGGCGGTGTTGGCGTTTATGTAGTTGTGAGTAATCCATCATTTTCAAATTGTAAGTCTTGTTTTTGTTTTCCAAATTTATAGCTTTTACTATGTATATGAAGATCGCAAAATCTATTTATTTAAAAAAAATCAAAATGACTTAAAATTTAGAACGGAGAAGGTATTAGGCAAGCTAGGGTTTGTGTACCAGATATATAATTAGGGTGGCATGCAATTAAGCACATATATATAAACACTTCTATATTTCAGGTGCCTGAATTTTAAGATGGTTTCAGCAACGCTCTTGTACTACCGATTAGTACAAATAAATTATCACTTTTGTGATTTGTTATTTGCCTTTGTGTCATAACATATCAAATTTTTGTCCTTGTCTGACTATAAAAATAATTGTGAATTGTTAAATTGTCTTTGTGCTAACACATATCAGATTTTGTCAGGTTTGTGATTTTGTCTAACGGATTTTTTATTCACGGAACCAAAAATTGTAGATTATGTCTATAAAAATTTCAACAAATTAAAACTATAATTTTAGTATAAAATATATGCAATAACCGTCACCCGAAAGAAAACTAAAGTTCAGGCACCTTAAATTTAGCAAATCCCATATATAAATAAAGTAGCACTAGTGTGTCATGCAGTTTGGATTGAAGTAAAGACAAAGGCAAAAACGGCATTTCCCCACCTTTTATTTACTTAGATTTGAGAAAATCAGTAAACTAATGTTTCGGTGTCGTAAAACAAATGACCATGGTTCAGTGATGATATCTAGCAAATTTTTATGTTTGAGACGTGGACTAGCTAATTCTATCTTTGTTTAGTGTCCCATAGCAAAAAAACATTGCCTATATATAAAGTACGTAGTAATAGCAGTATTATGAATATATATAAGTAATGGATGGTGGTGGATTGCATTGCAGCCGAGGGGCGTGATCAGCGTGGGGCCGTGGGGTGGATCCGGCGGGCAGCCGTTCTACATGCGCGGCGCCAGCACTCCTCGCCTTCGTAGCATCATCCTCTACCATTCCGGCGCCATCCACTCCCTCTCCTGCGAGTACACCCTCGCCGGCGACTACGAGGGGCCGCCGCCCCGAGTGGCTGGTCCGTGGGGCCTCCCGGATTCCTACGGCTCCAGAGGAGTTCGTACCGAGGTAACTAACGACCGCCCAGATCGATCACCTTTTTCTTCCGATCCTTGTGTGCATTTCGCTTCAGGGGTTGATTGGCATGCATCTGTGAATGAATATACAAATAATTTCTGTGCATGCAGATCGACCTGCCTTCAGGGGAGCACATCACGGCAGTGGAGGGGACGACGGGGCACTTCGCGAACGTCCCCGGCGTGGTGATCACCTCGCTGACGTTCCGCACCAGCGCCGGCAGGACGTACGGGCCGTACGGCAGCGTGGCCGCAGGGTCGCACTACTTCTCCGTGCCGGCGGCGGACGGCGCCTGCATCGTCGGCTTCTGGGGACGCTCCGGCTGGCTTCTCGACGCCATTGGGGTTTACATGAAGCCTTCTTGCTCATCATCAGACACGGCGGCGTACAAGAATTATGCATCCAGACGTCAGGGACGAAATTAGTACGGCAGTATATATACTGCTCCGGCTGTCCGGCGGCGCTATATTGGAGATCATCCATAAAATCCGATATGTATTATAGCTAGACAGATTTTCCGATTGCTGTCAGGATGATGGAAACATAAATAAATAATAACAAATCGGCCGGGCGTATATTATAATAGACAAATTACATCTGAGAAGACTTTTTTATATATATTTGTGGATAGAGTGAGTATCTAAAGGGCTGGTTGGATCACAGCATCCTGCATCCTGGCCCTGGACGTAAGAAATCCAACCAATACAACAATCCTCTTAATCTATGATGGAAAATTTCCGTCACAGATTTCCAAAAAACTGTCACGGATTAACATTCGTGGAGGTTTTTCGAAAACCATCACAGATTAATGAAATCCATGACGGTCCTAAACTGTCATAGAAGAGCCCAAGGCCTAATTAGCCTAACCCAAGACTATTGTTTGAAACGGAAAATAACCGTCATGGATAAATTGTCACATCATCATGAATGTTTACATGGATGCTTACGTGAATGATTACATCAACATCTCAGCCCATTTATTAACGGACCAAAAAGCCCATTTTTTAGCATGCTTTCATCCTATTTCTCAGCCTATTTTTCAGCCAAGTATAACAACGACACATACAACATAGACATATAGCACATACAGCCCATATAGGCATCCCATTTGTTAGACTGCTTTCAGCCCATTTTTCAGCCAATTATAACAATATACATACGGCATATATAGACATACAGCACATAACGCCTAAGAGCCTTGCCTAGATCAGGCACCTCAGCCACACCACCATCCAAACAGCCCCTAACTGATCACTGGCGTTTGTATGGCTGAAAAAAGAGCTATGCTGTGGTCAGACACGTGGTCAATATAATGAGCAATGCAAAACCTATACCAATTACTGAAGAGAAAAGTCATGTGCATAATGAGACAACGACATACTCTGTGTCACTGTTATATATGCAGACTATTCCATGGCAAACAAAGCCGCCAAAGCTGACTAACCATTGAAATCACTCCCCACCACATGAAACTAAATTAAAGAAATAGTAGCTTATATATACACAAATAAAAACGAAGATAATAACAGATTAAACCAACTGAGATGAGCTCATCGTATTCATATCAGTAGTTCAGTAAGCACCACACCACCACGGCACCATGAATCATCATCTCGAGCAACAAGCAGCAGAGAGCGAGAAGAAGAAGGTGAAGCTGCTCGGCTTCTGGGCAAGCCCCTACGTCCTCCGGGTGAAATGGGCGCTAGCGATGAAAGGCGTCGAGTATGAGTACGTGGAGGAGGATCTCCAGGGCAAGAGCGCCGAACTGCTGGCGTACAACCCCGTGCACAAGAAGGTCCCCGTGCTGGTCTACCATGGCAGGCCCATCGCCGAGTCGCAGGTCATCCTCGAGTTCATCGACGACGCCTGGAGCCACCGCGGCGACCCCATCCTCCCTCGGGACCCCTACCAGCGCGCCATGGCCCGTTTCTGGGCCAGGTTCCAGCAGGACAAGGTCAGGACTGATCAGGAAGAAGAAGAATCCATTATCTGCATGCAGCTCTGTGTTCATCAGTTTGAGTTCTAACTTGTACATATGTACCTCATGGCTCATGCAGCTCTCGCCACCGATTTGGAGGTGGTTCACGACGGAGGGGGAGGAGCAGGAGGCAGCGTACGAAGCTGCCGTAGAGCAGCTGCTGGTCCTGGAGAAGGAGCTCGCCGTCTCCGGGAAGCCGTTCTTCGGCGGGGAGAAAGTCGGGTTCGTGGACCTGTCGCTCGGCACGCTGGCGTACGTGATTCCGATCTACGAGGAGATCGTCACCGGCGGCGGCGGCGGCGTGAAGATGGTCACGGAGGAGAAGATGCCGTCCCTGGCTGCGTGGATGGGGAGGTTCCTCAGCTCGCCGGCCGTCAGGGGTCATCTGCCGCCGCTGGAGAAGCTGCGGCCCAGGTACCAGGCCATGCGCGAATGGTTTCTCGTCTCAGCAAGAGCAAAAGTTGAGCAGCAGCAGCAGTAACTAGAGCTCTAGCTACTTGCACTGTGCGTTTCTCGTCTTTATCACGTTCTTCTGCTCTCTATCCTTTCTGAAAGAGTCAAGAGATTTTACCATGTAAAGAAAGACAAAGCCAAGGTATTTACATGTACGTACCTAGTACAGTAGTCGCACTGGTAATTTGACTTCTGTGTCGTCATGCCTGTTGCAGATATAAACTCCGATCCAACCGTGTCAGTGTCACTGTTGTTCTTCAGACTGAGCTTTGCCGTGGCACTGGCAGATGATGCCTGCTTCTGATTATTACTTAATTACAATTATAGTGGCAGATGCAGGATGAGAACAAATGATGAAAATTTAAGATTAGAGCTAGAGATTAATGGTGATTTGAAACTAAATAATCGTGGTCTAATGAAAAAATCAGACTCATTAAGGAGCGGTAACCCGGATAGCCCTTTGGATCCGCCCCTGCTTAATTAGTCCTTCCTGCTTGCCTGATGAACCATGGCATGCATGATGTTGTTTATTGCTGTTGCAGCAGCAGCAACAGCAGCAGTCGCCTCGGTCATCTGCTATACTAGGACATTTGGCCAGACATTGACCATGCATGAATCGAAGATTTTGAGATGAGGTGAGTATGCTATTTCCAAAGTACGGAGTACTAGGCCTTGTTTAAAATTAACTAAATCACAGTTTAGTTGGAAATCACGAGAGAAAACTTTTCGTTTGTATTTGACAATATATTAGACAATAATCATATCAAATAAGGCTTAAAAGATTCGTCTCGTAATTTACAATTAAACTGTGTAATTAGTTATTTTTTTATCTACATTTAATACTCCATGCATATGTCCAAAAATTTGATATGATAAAAAGAGAGTGAAAAAATTTGCAATCTAAAGAAGGTACTAGTCTCTACCCTCTGTTGCGTGCCCTGAATGTTCAGCCTAGTGTCTAGCGTAGCGCTGCACCTCTGTTTTCCACTCTCCCTCCACGCAGCTGCAGCCGAGCAGGTAGTCTTCATTGTACTACTAGCTGAAAGTTCAACTCGGCTGCAGCGGCAGCGCTGTTAAGTGCAGCCAAGCAGGCTGAAAAGCGAGTTAACTTTAACAAGACGCAAGTAGTACTAATAATCTTTTCCAACACCAATTTTGCACCATAAAAACTGGCAACTCAAATCACCATGTCTTTAGCTCCTTCATCGGCCACGTACTAATCTGTTCTTTGGATAGCACCAGCGATCTGGCAGCTCAATCGGAGTATCGGACCCGTCCCATGAACACGTCTTTAACTCCTTCATCCATCTCGGCCATGTACTAATCCATTCTTTGGATAGCACCAGTGATCCGACACCTCGATCGGACGCGTCCCATGGATGGACTCACGAACCACACTCCAGCCTATTTCATCTGTGTTCTAGAGAGGACGGAGATTTACAATTCTTTTTTACTGTTGCTCCATCAAATTCCAATGCTCCTAGACTCCACACAAAATCACTACTGGTCAGCAAAGAGATGGGTGCCGCGCACCAAGTTTTGTAGAGTAAGGCTTTGTTTAGTTTCATGGTGTAAAGTTTTAGTGTGTTACATCAGGTGTTATATGAGGTGTCGTATGGGATGTTCGGATACTAATAAAAAAATAAATTACAGAATCCGTCGGTAAACCATGAAATAAATTTATTAATACTCTATACATGTATCAAACATTTGATAAGATATGATGTAAATTTTTGATGAGTAACTAAACAATAATAATCTTATTTTATCTGCATTATTATTGATTATTCTTTTTTAACCATATGCCACAGGCTGGCCGACCGACTTGTCTGTGTGCAGAACATGTCAAATTTTGCACTTTTACAGTTACGGGATATATCTATCCGTGTTCTAATCTATAACTAACTACCATCAGCTTGTTAACACTGGCTAGCAAGCAGGGCGTGCCTATTGGGCACTTTAATACAGCTTATGAAAAGAAAAAAAAACAAGGCTTCAACTTTCATAAACAAAATACAAAATATATTGGATGTCGACTTTCATAAACAAAATACAAAATATATTGGATCTTAACAAAATACAAAATATAAGATCTGCTAGCATGTTGCTGCTCTCATACAGTACTGTTCAACGGTTAACAAGAAGAAACACATAAATAAAGCATAAAAAAGTGCCTAAAGTGACAACTTGGTGTGCTAGTCCTTAGGTGCATATAACACCTTACTAGACTTCTCGGAGCGAATCTGACATCGGTAAAATTTCATGCATACTCCTGGCCTAGAGAAACTCTGAAATGATTGGTACAGCTCCTTGGCCTTGACATCAGAGATTGAATGACAGAAATTTACTGTCATCTCTTTAATCATTGTCCCCCAATCAAAAAGTCGTTTCACAAAAGCAACTTCATGTTTAGTTCCTCGCCATTCAAAGATTTCTACTTCTTCAAGGTGATTCAACAAGAGTTCCTCTGTTTCCCACTCTATTAGCTGAAGGCATTTGCAATCGGATGTGCATACAGTTTCGGCCTGACACCAGGAAGTATCAACTTAATAAAATTAATTGATGATTGAATGACAAAAATGAGAGTAAATTATCAGATTCCTGAACACTTTCGAGGTGTGGCAATGTGTTGATATCAACTAAAAAATAATTCAGCCTAGTAATTAGTTGCAGCAATATAATTTTCTGCTAAGACAAAAGATAGCACATAGCATAATTTATGTTTATAAAATCACATAGAATTCCATGTAATAACAGAATAATGCTATTATTAACTGCCCAAAATTAAGGAGATTTTGAATCAATCTTAGTGCATAAGCTCTGAATGGACCAGCATAGCCTTTATATTTTTACAACAATAACAAAGCCTTTAAGTCCCAAACAAGTTGGGGTAAGCTAGAGTTAAAACCTAGCAGAAGCAATCAAGGTTCAGGCACATGAATAACTGTTTTCCAAGCACTCCTATCTAAGGCTAAGTCTTTGGGTATATTCCATCATTTCAAGTCTCCTTTTACTGTCTCTACCCAAGTCAACTTCGGTCTTCCTCTACCTCTCTTCACGTTACTATAGTGGCTTAGGATTCCACTACGCACCGGTGCCTCTGAAGGTCTCCGTTGGACATGTCCAAACCATCTCAACCGGTGTTGGACAAGATTTTCTTCAATTGGTGCTACCCCTAATCTATCACGTATATCATCGTTCCGAACTCGATCCCTTCTTGTATGACCGCAAATCCAACGCAACATACGCATTTCCGCGATACTTATCTGTTGAACATGTCGTCTTTTCGTAGGCCAACATTCTGCACCATACAACATAGCAGGTCTAATCGTCGTCCTATAAAACTTGCCTTTTAGCTTCTGTGGTACCCTTTTGTCACATAGGACACCAGATGCTTGGCACCACTTCATCCAGCCTGCTTTGATTCTATGGCTAACATCTTCATCAATATCCTCGTCTCTCTCTAGCATTGATCCTAAATATCGAAAGGTATCCTTTCTAGGCACTACTTGACCTTCCAAACTAATATCTTCCTCCTCCCGAGTAGCAGTGCCGAAGTCACATCTCATATACTCAGTTTTAGTTCTCTTTTAAAAAATAAAATTACTTAGGCTAATTACTCCTTCAACTTTCTATTCACTGCCATATTATTTTCTACCTCTTATATACATTATTACCAAGGTTGATCTGCTTTAGTGTCATCCAACGACTCACCAGAAGTCCAGAACAGTATATTTCAAACAGGCTAAAATTAAGTAGAAAGAGAGCAACTATTTACAGCCCAAATAGTATACCAACACTTAAATCTACAGAGTAAAGTGATATCATTGGGATATCAAATAAACCATACATCTGACAAAAAAAATACAAATGCATATTTCTTCCCATTACTTCCCTGGAAACTTAAATACTTACTCCAGTAAGAAAATGTGTTGTGTTTACCTAGGGACCATGTCTAACTAAATACACACATATTTTTTTCATAAAAACAGCACACATTGATCTACCTTGAAAAAATAGATTCATAATGCTTTAAATTAATTTGGCTTTCGATACATACTTTGACAGAAATTAATCAATCAAAAATGCCTTTTAGGGACCAAAACGCTACCTTTTTTCTGTGTCTAGACAGAGTATTAGGTAAACAAAGAATAGGTTTACCTCTGACAAAAACAGCAGCATCAACCTTCTTATACCAGTACACAATCTGAGAACATGGAATGCGCTGACCTCAAAGGCATGTCCATATGCCATTACCATTAGGCGCAAAAATGTAATGTCTGGGAGCATTGCCATGTCTTCCATCATGTAGTCATAGTTCTCTATACCCTGTGTTTTCATAGGAAGTAATACAAAAGGGTTCATATGTGACAGTTAGAAGGGGAATGAAACTTGAAACCTAAAGCTGTTTCAGTGATTGTTGCTAGCTGACCATTGTTGTGAGCATAGACGAAGCTGAAGCTATAAGCTAACAAGTTCATTCTGGGTTTCTTACACAAAGCATGGCCATTGTGAGCTGCTTAAAAGACTGGACTACTTGTTCTCTAGAAAATACTTTGGCTCTCGTGTTTCTTGCATATATATAATGGAAAATAGTATTAGCAATGTTGGAGGGACCTGAGGTCCTAAGCAAACCAAAACATGCGATGACTTGTACCAATGATGGTTTCCTGATATCACCATCATCTAGACAATTTGAAAAAAAGTCAAAATAGTGGAAATGAAACATTCTTTAAGCAAGCCATTTGGTTCATTGCACAAGCCAACTTATTTTATCCTAAACAAAGACTCATAAGTAATATGCCTGAAGTACTTTATTTCCTTGCTTTTATATGTCTACTCGAGCCTTAGGAGTTAAGTTTTTGTTTACAAAAAAAGGGCATTGAGCAAACTTTAATTCTGTGGTAGCGGAGGACCATTCTTAGTCAGCATGTCACATAGGAATCTTGGATTGATACACTAGCATGGTATATGGTACTACGATGGCATAATGGTTCCATATAATAGAATTGAGAACTCACCCGTAGATACGCCAGCGTTAGACAAAGACTTTTGATGCCCTCAAAGTGCTGCAAGAGACTCAAACAAGACTGATTGTGCAGGAAACCACCATTTCCATAAACAAGATAAAAGCCAGTTCCCAGCCATTGAAGATGTGCCATCTTGCCAAGGTGGACAGAGCTCGGGTCATATTCATCAATCCAATCAAGTTTCGTGAGCAGAGGGGTCGAAATGTTGGCGATTGGTGGACTCTTGAGAAAACAAGATGCCACAGTTAACTCCTCGAGCGCCGGCGCCACAACGGTGAGCCGAGACAAGGCCTGCAAGCCCCTGAGTTCCATCAACAGCATAGACTCAGAATGTATGGCGAGATCCCTCAGCCCACGGGCATCCTCGACGGTGAGCCTCTGCAAGCACGGGCACCGCGGCGAGGACACGGCGTCTCCTAGCTCGCCTGGGCCGTGGAACCAGACGCGGCTCAGGTGGAGCCCGGTGAGGCGAGTGAAGACGCCGGTGAGAGGCACGGCGAGGCCCTGAAAACCCAAGAAGAAGGAGATCGTGGTGGCCTTCTCAAAGCAGGGGAACTCAAAAGCGCCTCTCTCCCCCGCATCTTCCACCGGACCGTAGGTTTTAAGGGTCAGGTCGCCGGAGACACGGCGCGCGGCGGCGGGGAGCCAGACCGCTAGAGACTCGGCGGTGGCGCCGTCGGCCCCGACGAGGAAGTCGCGGAGGAGCACCTTGTGGTCGTCGAGGGCGTGGCGCAACCGGTGGGGCTCGGGGGGCGAAGTGAATCTGAGCACCGGGAGGAGAGCCCAGATGCGGCGCCAGCGGTGGGAGAGGACGCTGGTCCGAGCGGCGGCGCGGGTGGTGAGCTTGAGGAGGATGAGAACGAGGACGTCGTCGTGGAGCGCGCTGAGCCGGTCCTCGCCTGCGGCGGCGGCGGCGGTATCGGAGGAGGAGAGCCCCTGGCGCTTGGCGGCGCACTCGCTGCCGCCGCCCAGCTCCATCGAGAACGGGAAGTGGATGGGGATTTGGGGATTTATTAGGTCACGGACAATCGCATTGCACGGTGGAATTTGGAGATTGGATTGCAGGGTATTATAAAGCAGGGTCACAATCGTCGTGGAGCTGGTACGAACTCCATTCGCCGGTTCGTTTGGTTATAAGCCAATTTTTTTTCAACCAACAAATAATATTTTTATTTTACAATAAATCAGTCAATAGTATTTGTAGTCATAACTTACCAGCAAAACAATCACACTGTTGTTCTTCCGAGTGAACTTTGCTATGGCACTGTGGCAGATGATGCATGCTGATTATTACTTCCTCCTAAAAATAAGCTTTTAATTTTGACCAACAATATGAAAAAAATAATATTTATAATACATCATTAGTATGATTAGATAGATTGTTGAATCTATTTTCATAATAAACTAATTTGGAGATGTAAATGTTGCTAATATTTTTTATATAACCTAGTTGATCTTAACATAGTTTGACTGGGACGAAACCGAATACCGTAGCGACACTTATTTTGGAACGGATAAAGTATTAATTAGTCCTCGCTACTGCTCTGATGAACCATGGCATGCATGTTTGATTGTTCAGGGAGTGTTTGGATCCAGGGTTTCGTATCACATCGGTTGTTTATACTAACTAGGAGTATTAAATATGAGTTAATTATAAAACTAATTGCACAGGAGTAAACTAATTAGCGAGACGAATATATTAAGACTAATTAATCTATTATTAGTAAATGTTTCCTGTAGCGTCACATTGTCAAATCATGGACTAATTAGACTTAATAAATTCATCTTGCAAATTAGCCTCAATCTGTGTAATTAGTTTTATAATTATTCTATATTTAATACTCTTAATTGGTATTCAAAGAATCACGGGGCTAAACTTTTGCCTAAAAAGAAAACAAACACCCTTTTATTGTCGTTGCCGTTGCAGCAGCAGCAGCAATGACATTTGACCACACACTGACCATGCATGAATCAAAGATTTTTGAGATGAGGCGAGTGGGGGTGAGTGTGCTATTACAGTATACTAGTATATTGTTCATGCTAACGCTACAACGACTTTTGGTAGTACAAATCAAACATTCAAAAGATAATATATGCATCACTAACAAAGCATAAATATAGTATGTTTAAGATTCACTAAAAATCAACTATACATAGAGTTAGATATATTAATTAACACTCATCTCATTTGAAATACATTGATACCTTTCACAGCACACACTGAAAGAGTTAGAACTATAATAAGTATATTTTATGCCAATCGTCTTATCTACCCTACATACAGAGGAAATAAACATGTCTTGTGGCAGTGATCGTCGTGGCAAAGGTTCAGCAAGGTGTGTGCGAAGCACCTTTCTACCAATATGTTGTCTGCAGCTAGAGAGCATGAAATGACCGATATACCATCTTTCTTTGGCTGATGCTACATCAACAAAAAGCTTGATTGATAGCACAGTTCAATCTGAAGCAATGTAGAAAAGTAACTGCTTGTAGACAGTGTTATATAGTTGTTCTGAAGGGCAAAGCAATTTCAGTTTAGTGAAACAGTATAAATTGACCTGTCAGTTTAGTGAAACAATACAAATTAACCTAGGCCTTGTTTAGATCACCTCCAAATTCCAAGTTTTTTCACTTCTCTCTCCATCACATCAATTTTTGGACGCATGCATGGAGCATTAAATATAGGTAAAAAAATAACTAATTACACAGTTTGGTTGTAAATCACGAGATGGATCTTTTGAGCCTAGTTAGTCCATGATCGGACAAAGTTTGTCAAATACAAACGAAATGTGCTACAGTGTCCAGGTTGCAAAAATTTGCAATCTAAACAAGGCCCTAGGCACGAACGGCCCAAGCCAAATCACCCTAGTGAAAAAGTACAAATGAAGTGCCCTGCGGATTCAAACCACTGGCACTGACCTAAGGCCGAGATCTTCGACTGGAGCTGATCAAGCTCATTCTTGCGTGGCCTCGGCAGCCTTCTCCACCCTGAGCGTCACCGTGGCCTGGTTGTCTATCATTATTTTCTCTTTTTTTTGAGAGATCATTTTTAGAGATTAATGTCAAAGAAGGAGAAATATTGGGAGAGAGTGTAAGGGAAAGAGATTAATATGAGGATTTAAAGGGGTAAAAGGGAGGCATATAAGATTTTTCAATTTTTATTGTATGGTGTGTGCAAGGATAGTTTAAATTGATGTTCTTGATAAGAACCATATATGCTAATGTGTGATGTTAATGTCTTGAATGATGTGTTGTTTATTTTCTCTTACTGCCACTATGCGATAATGCCACGCTCACTCGCGGAAGTGCCGCACATGACAGCTTCAGAAACTTCTTGAGTGCATGAACTGCCATGAGCATCACGTTTATCATGATGACACCTTGCACCCGACAGATGCTAAGATATAGGAGAGTTCCCACACTTTATCTTGAATATGTGCATTTGGCATTTGATGCCAAAATTTGAATTTCTTTTAATGCACACATTTAGGGGGAGCTCACTATATCATAGGATTAAAAATCTTATTATTTATCAATCTCTTGTAAGCTTTAAGTGTGTTGTCATCAATCACCAAAAAGAGGGAGATTGTAAGTGCATCTAGCCCTTTAGTGGTTTTTGGTGAATTGAATGACAACACCATTAAAAGTCTAACAAGTTTGTAAAATGTTGAACAGCTAGTCCCCGAGCGTGTTGTATCTGCTGAGCAACACCGTCTTGAGCTTGTCCGAGCAGTTGAACTGGTAGTCGAGCTGTTGAATCAAGCATCCGACCAGTTGAACTGGTAGCCGAGCTGTTGAATCGAGCGTCCGACCAGTTTAACTGGGAGTGAAATTGATTTTATTGCATACGCTTGTGGATTGTAGAATGAGAACTGTATATAGGTTCAACAAGAAGGCAAACTTGATATTCCACATAATGTTCAAATCAAGGGTCAAAATTGTGTATTGTTGTGTTGGAAGATCACGGAAATAATATAGTTCAAGAGAAAGACAACAATGCACAATTTTAGCCTCCCCAACGTCTCTCTGTCTTTTCTTCCTCACTTCAGCACGCTCAAAAATAGAAAAGAGCTGCTCTCTCTCCCTCACTCACCATTAGAGACCCTCAAGCTTCTCCCTTTGTGTCGGGTCCATAAACCCGGGGTTCCTCGCGGACCAGCTTCCCCGCAAAGGCTTGGCCCAAACAGACAGCACGCAACTCATGGGCCGGCCCAAATACCTGAGCGATAGGTCGGGGGAGTGATCCAATCTCCGACCGAAAGGACAGGCCGAGGAGGAACAGCGCCCGTTTTCTGACTCCGGCCCACCTCTCCGACCGGAGTGCTCGCTTCGGTCTCCAGCCCACCTCCGAACGGCCTCTCCGACCGGAAGGCCTGGCCAAAAGCACCGCTTCCGACTCTGACCCCATACTCTCCGATTGGGGATACGCCAATCCCCTGCTCACTGCTCTTCTCCGACTGGCGCGACCAGAGCCGACTGGGACCAGCCAACCGAGGACGCCCGCTCGGTAGGGACCAGGAAACATCCGGAGAAAAGTAAGGTATGGCGCACAAGTCAAACCACGATACCGGGACCATACCCTGTGCAGAAACAATACTCTGCAGCTTCCCTGACACAAACAGTGTTGTAGGCGCCGACATTTTCTCCTACAGTATTGTGGGCGCCATTAACTCCCATACGGTAAGGCACCCCCACATGCCTCTGGGCGTGGACAGTGTTGTAGGCGGCGGGATTTACCGTACCGAGTGAACGTGGTGAAACTCCTCATGTGCCTCTAGGCATCAACAGTATATGCAGGTACCGACATCTGCCATACCTGAAGAAGGCAACGCAATCTCCCATATGCAACCGACATTCTACAGTGACATCAACAGTGTTGTGGGCGCCTACCATTATCTTGTACCCGCCGGCGTGGGCAACAAAGCTCAGTAGCATACGTACCCTCACCCTCTCACTTGTAAAGCCATCCCCTTCATCTATAAAAGGGGATGTGCTTCCTCCAACATAACTCAGTCCCTTTAGATTCATTAGATCGACTAAGTTCACTAGTTCAAAACCATAGAACCGCCAGGTTCGGACCTCAAGCACATGCTTGAACACTTAGCTCGTAGTGGAGCTCCTGTCGCTCTCGGCCCTTTCGACCGGAGCCCGACCGAACCTCTCGTACACCCCATCTTTCTCCTTCTCATTTGTAACCCCACTGCAAACTTCGAGTACCTAGGCTCAGCAATAAAGTCACCGACCGACTCAAACGGGACATAGGGCACGTTGCCTGAACCAGTATAAACCCTGTGTCATTGAGTGCTAGGCCACCTCTGATCACAACGTACGGCAAAACTACAAATATTTACGTGTTGGTCACTTTCTGCACCGACAGTTGGCGCCGTCCGTGGGGAAGACGTTGTACGTTCAACACTTTTTGGTCATCGGATGACCCACTTTTCCGCAACCTTCGCCATGGCGGGCTCTGGCGACACAATTCGCTTCGGCTCACTAGAGTTTCCCGTGCTCCCACCAGTTGGGATGTGGGTTCCACCCGCCTTCAAGCCATCCTAGGCCTTCCTCCTCGAAAGCCTGGACTTCGTCGCCGACCAGCTCGATGTACTACACCTCCGCGAGGAGGCACTCGTTCTGGCACCTGTCGGAAGGGCGCCCTCCATCGACTCTGGGACACACGACTTCGACGACACGGCATCCGTGCTTCATTCCGAGCAAACTCTCTGCTCAAACCCCGCTGTGAGTAATGTACATGCTGTTATTTACTTGCTATTGTCTATCTTCCGCCAATTACCTAGAGGGATGCCGTTGTCCCCATCGGCCGCCATATGGCTGGTTCCCTTATGGCCTCATGCCTCCCGCGGACGCGTATGCCTAGGGACTCCAAAGGATGCCGGTGCCGCACCTCTCACGTCTGAATTCGTGGGGATGGCGAGCTATGCTCCTACCTATTTCCTCGACCTCATGGATGATGATGTCGG